TCTTGGATTCTCGTCGCCGAGTGTTGCTTTGATATCTTTGATTTCGTTTTCTAGAGCAACGATGTAGTCCCTTTATATTGTCAGGAATAATCATAACCTGAGTAACATGGTGAATCCTTTGAAGGAGTGAAGTTGGAGGGGGAGTCAGCCATGTTTTTGTTGTTGTTGTTTGTCCCTGGTGGCGGCGGTGAGGGGAGTTGATGATACACCGGCGTCCCGCTGGGTAGACAAATTGAGTTCTAGGGGCCTTGCTGTTATTCTTTTATTACTGATTGTTTTCTTCTGCGATATCCTTTTATAGTATCACTGAAGTAGATACGTGTAGCAGTGGAGAAGGCCTTTTTTTCTCGGAGCTTGGGTTAAGTGTTGTCTGGCAGCGGAGGCAGTGTTTGGGTTAGCAGGGCTGTCTTCCTTAGATCTTCTATTTTTGTCAAGATTTGGGTTACATTCTTAGTATTCTTGGGTCATTTTGTGGTCTACGTGGGTTCATGTAGTTGAACTTTCACTTAGGCCATCACAAGTTTTGATGAGCGATGTTTTTTGAGGAAGAAGAGCTGGTAGGATGCCGCTGCTGCCGCTGCCACTGCCGCAAACCATGGTACCATATGGTACATTGTACCATACAGTACAATGGTACCATATGGTTCATTGTACCATATGGTACTGTTGTATTCAACACAATAAACACACTAATATTTTCATTATTATTTTGTTTACAATAGTTGTTTACAACAAAAATATGCAAAAATGTTGTATATTAGTAATGTTCTATTATATATTTACAAGTGTACAGGAACTTGACGTGTTCCTTGAGCTGGATGACAAAGCACTTTGTCTGGTAAACTGCGGAGTCAATAGCTAGCTTGCGTGGCCACTCACTCAGTCTTGGCTGGTGTCTCATGCCACCAACACCTATTGACCAAATGGTACACGGTATCATATGTTACAGGGTACCATATGGTACATTGTACTATGTGGTATAGGGTACCATGCAGTACAGGATAACATATGGTGCAGGGTACCATATGGTACAGGGTACCATATGGTACAGGGTACCATATGGTACAGGGTACCATATGGTACAGGGTACCATATGGCACAGGGTACCATATGGCACAGGGTACCATATGGTACAGGGTACCATACAGTACAGGACACCATATGGTACAGATACAGGGATAACTATTGAAATAAGTCACCCTGACTTTTTTGGGTTATCCTAAGATTTTATACGTATGCTGCTATGTATGATAATCTACGTAATTGTATTTCTGTACACCTGAATAAACTTATTCAAGTGCATGTGGCATCATAAGTAAGTTTATTTAGTTATACACAAATAAAGTTACATAGAATATCATACTTAGCAGCATATGTTTGGTGAACCTAGGATAACCCAAAAAAGTCAGACAGACTTATTTCCATTAGTGTCCCTGTACCCTGTACCATATGGTATAATGTACCATATGGTACAATGTACTATATGGTACAATGTACTATATGGTATATTGTACCATATGGTACCATTGTACCATATGATATTGTACCATATGATACCATTGTATGACATGGCACCATTGTACCATATGGCACAATGGTACCATATGGTTCAAAACCATAGAATTCGTCTTCAGCTCCACTTCCATCAGTCTTAGAACTGTAAGTTGTGAAGAGGAGAGTCAGAATTCGCCCGGAGAGTGAGTGGGGAGTGAGAGCTTCCTTGCCGCCAGGCACTATGAACAAAGCTACTTTGCCGGCGTTCCCACAATGCCATGCGGGTGTCCAGATTTTTTCTATGGTGTGCACACTGACCACCCAGACCCATTCTCTCAGATGTAGGCCCACCAGCCTTCTCGTGCTAAATTTGACGCCGCTAGAATTTTGGCATAGATCTACGGTTTAGACCCTGAACGTAAAGCTGTAGATCTACGAGACGGACCCTGAAAGGGTTAATCTTTGAAGAAGGCACCTCATCCACTCCCTCTTCCTCCTCCTCTGAAGCAAGTTCCTCAGCTGTGGTCTGATTCTGCTCCAGATGAAGCTCTTGCAGCTCTTCAGTGGTTAGCTCTTCCCTGTGGTCCTCCACCAACTCTTCGACATCCTCACCACTCGCCTCCAACCCCAGGGTGTTCCCCAATGTCAACATAGAGTCCACAACAGGCAGAGGGTGAGCTGGGTCAGGGTCAGGGTCAGCCTCAAACCCTTCAAAATCCCTCTTTTGGACACAATCTGGCCACAATTGTCTGCAAGCAGAGTTCAAAGTCCTGGAAGTCACTCCCTCCCAAGCCTTACCTATAAGGCCTATGGAGTTGTAGATGTTGAAGTGATTCCTCCAGAACTTTCTTAGGGTTAACTTAGTGTCTGTGGTCACTTCAAAGCACTTTTCAAACACTGCTTTTGTGTAGAGTTTTTTGAAGTTAGAAATGACCTGCTGGTCCATGGGCTGGAGGAGAGGAGTGGTGTTAGGAGGCAAGAACTTCACTTTTATAAAACTGAAGTCCTTAGACAAGAGGTCTAATAAGTTTGGAGGATGAGCAGGAGCATTGTCCATTAACAGGAGGCACTTGAGTGGCAATTTCTTTTCCTGGAGGTATTTTCTCACACTGGGGCCAAACACTTCATAGACCCACTCTTTGAAAATTTGTCTTGTGACCCATGCCTTATGATTAGCTTTCCACAAGACACATAACTTGTTCTTAAAGACATTGTTTTTCTTAAACACACTGGGATTTTATGAATGATACACAAGTAAAGGCTTCACTTTAAAATCACAACTAGCATTTGCACAGAACAAAAGAGTAAGCCTGTCTTTCATAGGCTTGTGTCCTGGCAGTGCCTTTTCCTCCTGTGTGATGAAGGTCCTTTTTGGCATTTTCTTCCAAAACAAGCCTGTTTCGTCAAAATTAAACACTTGTTCAGGTTTGAATTCTTCACTGTCTATGTACCCCTTAACCTCCTGTACAAACTTCTCAGCCACCCGTTTGTCTCAACTGGCTGCCTCACCATGTCTTACAACATTGTGTATGCCACTACGCTTCTTAAATCTGTCAAACCAGCCTCTGCTGGCCTTAAATTCACTATCAGCACTGGTTCCAGGAGTTTTCCGTACCAGATCGGCATGCAACTTCCTTGCCTTTTCGCAAATAATCGTCTCTGAAACACTATCACCTGCAATCTCTTTATCCTTGATCCACACCAGCAACAACTTCTCAACCTCTTCAACTATTTGTGGTCTTTTTTTGGTTAGCATATTAACACCTTTTGCAACATCAGCTTCCTTGATTTGTTCTTTCTTTGCCAGGATAGAACCGATGGTCGACTTGTTTTTCCCATACATCCTGGCAAGCTCAACAAGTCTCACACCACTCTCATACTTCTGTATTATCTCCTTCTTCATATCTATGGTGTTTCTCACTTTCTTTACCACAGGGGTACCACTAGCAAGTTTCTTTGGGCCCATGGCAGCTTATTTCACAGTCCCACAAGCACTAAACACAATGAAATATTCGTAAAATGTGTGAATGAGAGCGCAGGTTAGTGTTCACTCAAGCATAAACAAAGCTAGACTGCTCATGGCGCCTGCGCTGGGACACGGACAGAGCGGGCCGGCAGACAGGTCCCGTATCCGGCGGTCCAAAAATAGGGGCGCATTTGATAATAGGGACACAGTTTGTCCAAAAAAATTGTCCTATTTTCGAAACGTTCGATATGTGATACGTTTGATTTTTGAGGTTCCACTGTACTTATAAATTCTAGCGGCTTCAAATCAAGAAGGCGAAAGCTGGTAGGCTCACATGTGAGAGAATGGGTCTGTGTTGTCAGTGTGCACCATATAAAAAAAATCCTGGAGCACGCAGTGCATAATGAGAAAAAAAACTGACCGTTTTTTTTTAATTAAAATGCTGACTTTGTGGTCTATTTTCGTATAGTATTTATGGTTGTATTCTCGTTTTCTTGGTCTCATTTGATAGAATGGAAAACATATAGAAATAGAGGTGATTTTGATTGATTTTACTATAAAAAGAACCTGGAAATGGAGCTCAAAATAGGGGAAATGATTGATTTTTGCCAATGTTCAAAAGTAAACAAATGATGTCATTGTCCAATAAATATCCAACTAGCCATTCTAATATGCAGTCATGAATGGGTTGATGTTATTTATACAATTATTACAGTATTGCAGTGGTCTGCATAATAGTAAATCTTCTATTTTTTGTTCGAATAAAAATTCAAAATAGAAAGCAAGAGTAATATCAGAGGGGCCTGGAGACATGACTGAAGAACAAAGAAAATGTTATTTTAGAGTCAAAAATGTCTACATTGTTCATTCTGGACCTTATTTTGAAATTGTCATATTTTTTAATTTTCGTGAAATTGGCCAAATTGCAAATTTCTGATCACGTTATTGGGTAGTTGAAATTGGTAAATGGGCAGTTTCTTGTACTCAGTCGATAGAAAAAAACGGAGTTCTAAAGAAATAGCTATGAGTTTGGTCGACTGGAACAATGGAATTAGCCGAAAATAGGGCTCAAAGTGGGTGAAATCGCCAATTTGTAAATATCTCCGAGGTCGCTAAATTCACGAGACCATAATTCCATCAGTTTTCCATCAAATTTCGTTTTTTTGGTGTCATTACAATCGGGAAAAGATTCTCTATCATTTCATAAGATTTTTTTTTTTTTTTTTTTGAAATTTTGCGACACCAGGAGACACCTCAGGATTGGGGGTTAAGAAAGATTTAACTGTATGATGCATTATACTGTATAGATCTTATTTGAGGGAAATGAGCATTGTTGTATTGAATTAGAACATATTTATTGAAGATGTTTTGGTCCTTGGAACCTGATAACTTGTATTGGAAGTGATCAAACTCCAAGGACTAAAATGTCTTCAGTAAAGGTGTCCTAACTGAATGCTTTTATATCCACTTTCCTCATGTTGTTGCAGTCATTTACCTTCTTACTACAGATTTTTTTTTTTTTTTTTTTTTTTTTTTTTAGCATTGATTACGCAAATGAGGTTATACGCGAGAGAGGGGTATATGTGCGCCCAGATGGTACAACATATCCTGTCATTGTCAAGTGCAAGTGAGTACTCTAATCATAACTGTACACTGGAGATAAATGATGAGAAATATTGACATGATGGAAAAAGAAATACAAATGCAGTGTAGTACAATCATTTATTGACAACATTTTACCCAGACAATGGGCTTTATAAATTCATAAACAAATCTGTTTGTGATTTGATAAAACTCACTGACTGGGTAAAATGTTGTCAGCAATGGATTGCATAATACTCCATTTGTGTCTCTTTTCATGATAGAACATTGTTGATTATTTACATCCCTGTGTTTCTGAGCCTCCCAGGCTCCTCCGTCCTCTGTTCTGTGAGACTCTATGATTCTGCAGCTTGGCTGAAGGACTACCATTACACTGGCCCCTTCATCACTCCCTGCTCTGGTCTCTCAGCTAATGCTTGCCTTCTCTCTGCATACATTAACCCTTTGACTGTCGCGGTCGTATATGTACGTCATAGGAGATACCGTGTTTGACGTATCTATACGCATAAATTCTAGCGGCTTCAAATCAAGCAGGAGAAAGCTGGTAGGCCCACATGTGAGAGAATGGGTCTCCATGGTCAGTGTGCACCATATAAAAAAAATCGGGGAGCCAGTGGTGCATTGTGGGAATACCATTTCAGTCGTCCTTTTTCAGCATGTCTAGCGGTAAGAAATATGTGACTTCCCTGCAAATCTGGGACTCTTCTCTTCCCAAGTGATGCTCTAACACAGATGGAAGTGTCAATGAAGATCAATTTCATGATTTCGAGGAGTTTGAGACCAAAAGCAATGGAGGAGGTGGAGGAGGAGGAAGAGGAGGAGGAAGAAGAGGAGGAGGAAGAAGAGGAGGAGGAAGAAGAGGAGGAGGAAGGAAGGAGGAAGAGGAAGGAAGGAGGGAGGAGGAGGAAGGAGGGAGGAGGAAGAAGGAGGGAGGAGGAAGAAGGGGGGAGGAGGAAGGAGGGAGGAGGTGGGAGGGAGGAGGAGGAAGGAGGGAGGGAGGAAGAAGGAGGGAGGAGGAGGAAGGAGGGAGGGAGGAGGAGGAAGGTGGAAGGAGGAGGAGGAAGAAGAAGAAGAAGAAGAAGAAGAAGAAGAAGAAGAAGAATAAGAAGAAGAAGAAGAATAATAATAATACCTAATACCTAATAATAATAATATGTAATAATATGTTCCCTTGAGGCATGAAAACAGTTCACCCCATGACAGTGACAAGATAAGGGGAGATAACATCTGATAAGAGCTGACCTTTGATGAGCATAAACAAGGGTGGAGGGAGGGGGGCAGCTGTCCATCTGTCAAGAGCCAGGAGGAGAAGGAGAAGAAGGAGGAGGAGGAGAAGGAGAAGGAGGAGGAGGAGGAGGAGGAGGAGAAGATGACGACGAACTAACATTTGTCTGTCTGTCTATTTGTCTGTCTGCCAAACTCCCTGTCTATCCGTCTAGCTCTGTCTCAGAGAGAGCCACAAGACTGTGTCATCATCACGTTTACTCACATCTTCAAGCAGAGTATAGCACTTTGTCTGGATTTTTTGGGTTATCCTAGGTAATTTACACTATGTATAGTTGTATTTATGTGTACCTGTGAGACAGAGATAGACAGAGAGAGAGAAAGAGAGACAGATTGAAAGAGATAGAATGAGGGAGAAAGATAATTAGATAGAATGGAGGGGGAAGCAGCATCCGACCCCATTGTTTTGACAGGCGGTAGGGGAGTGACTAATGAGACAATATGTCATTTTGACAGCTGCCGACTCCTGACTCAAAACAATTATAAGCCACACACTCGCACACAAGACAAGCTTGCTGAAGGGTGATAATAGAGTTTTATGAAAGTATCTAGTGACTATATATGTGTATATATATTATAGAAACCAGAAGCAAGAAGGGAAGGCAGGAATGAAGGAAGGACTAGATGAAAGGAAGGAAAAAAGTAATGAAGGACAGATGAAGGAATGTAGGAAGAGAGGTGGAATGCCCTCCAGGTAGCCTCCAGGTAGGAAAGGAATGAAGGAAATTAGGAAGGAATGATGACACACGACCATTTACCTAGGATAACTACATAACACAACTGCCTGCTAATACTTTGAAGAAAGCTGCTCAGACGAGGTGTTTTGTCTTTGCACATAAAAAAAATTCAACAAAAATGCACACACACTGATTTTATGTGTGAGAGTGTAAAACACCACTGTGTATGACACCATGTTTTATGTGTGAGAGTGTAAAACACCACTGTGTATGACACCATGTTTTATGTGTGAGGAGTGTAAAACACCATTGTGTATTACACCATGTTTTATGTGTGAGAGTGTAAAACACCACTGTGTATGACACCATGTTTTATGTGTGAGAGTGTAAAACACCACTGTGTATGACACCATGTTTTATGTGTAAGAGTGTAAAACACCACTGTGTATGACACCATGTTTTATGTGTAAGAGTGTAAAACACCACTGTGTATGACACCATGTTTCACAGAGTTCCACAAGCTGCAGAACTTCTAGGAATATATATTCAGTGACTGTATATTGGTATATATATTATAGAACAATAGTAATAACAATTTTTTGTATTGTTTGTTTTTGTAAACAAGTTTTGTAAACAATATATTGATAATTATGTTTGTGTGCTTATTGTGTTGTATACAACAAGTGTATATATGTACATTGCACCTTACTTTGGTCTCACAGGCCACATAAGTTATGTGAAAAAATAAAATAGTGAAAAGAACAACAAACCTTCAAATACAAGTAAACTAAAGTTTACCAGGTGAGCGGCAGTCGCCGCTGTTGCCATACGCGGCTCATTTTCTGCAAACTTCATGCCTCTATATCTCGGTAAGTACTGATGGGAAAATTTTTTTTTTTGGGACTAAAACAATCAGAAAAATAATCTTAACATTTTCATAAGAAAAAATAATTTTTTTTTTTTCGAATATTTTGCGACACCAGGAGACACTTCAGGATTGGGCCCTTCGACAGTCAAAGGGTTAAAGTAACTCACAGTACTTATATACACACAAGCAACGAGTATTACAATCAGGTCTCCAGATTTGCGTAAGTTAATTATACAGTAAATAACAAAAAGGTACAATAATGTGACTGGAAGAATGCACAAATAACCCACACATAGGAGAGATAGAGAAAAGCTTATAACAATGTTTTGGTCCATCTTGGACCATTGACACAGAACAGAGCGAGTGAGCCAGTGTATTTTGGTGAGGAGGACAGGGATGGGAGAAAGAGAAGTAGTGGTGGTGGTAATGTTGGTGGAAGTAGTAGTAGTAGGGGGAGTAGTTTTTGCCACAAGAGATATAAAGGGGAGAAAAGGGGGGCAATAGGAGTGGTAGTAATAGTAATAGAAAAGGTAGAATTTTGAAGCAGAAATAGTACCATAAACTCTGTCTTCTTGCGTACTAAACAGATTTTCTTCTCTCTCAAACTCTATTCCTGCGAAATATCCTGTTCTCTGCCTTACCTATGATTTCAGTCTTTTTAGTCTCCACAGCTCTCTCTGTTCCTTAGACGTCAAACATACTTTTCACCAAGTGTGTGTGATGAATGGTTTGAAAAACCGACAAGTTGAAGATTGAGACACTTATGCAGCATATGGGAATCTTTATTCAGGAAACGTTTCGCCACACAGTGGCTTCATCAGTCCAATACAAAGAGGAAGGCGTAAGGAGAGGAGGAGTATGAGGTAATCAGTCCCTCAGCCTGGAGTCGATGTGTTCAGTCCATCAATCTTGTAGAATGTACAGCATAGGGCTGTAGACGTGGCTTATATACTGTAGTGAGGTGAGGTGAAGCAGGCGGAGGCGGGGTCATAGTGGTACCATCCACTAGTCGAAGTAGGTCTTCGTCCAAAGGTTGAACAAGTGTTGAAGAATTCTTTGTAACAAGAATTCTTCAACACTTGTTCAACCTTTGGACGAAGACCTACTTCGACTAGTGGATGGTACCACTATGACCCCGCCTCCGCCTGCTTCACCTCACCTCACTACAGTATATAAGCCACGTCTACAGCCCTATGCTGTACATTCTACAAGATTGATGGACTGAACACATCGACTCCAGGCTGAGGGACTGATTACCTCATACTCCTCCTCTCTTTACGCCTTCCTCTTTGTATTGGACTGATGAAGTCACTGTGTGGCGAAACGTTTCCTGAATAAAGATTCCCATATGCTGCATAAGTGTCTCAATCTTCATACTTTTCACCAAACTAACACCCTTTGCAGTAATCTAGTTTTACCTCTTCCCCTGCAGTTGATGCCCCTGGTGTCTACTCTATTTCATGTTCCTCTTGTCCTCTGTAATACTTTGGAGAAACTGGTAGCTCTCTGATAAACTTAAAGAGCACAGAAAAGTGTTAGGCTTGTCATTACCAGTCTTTTTTTTGTCATGTTAGTGACCAGTCACCTTAACGATTGGTCCTCTGCCCAGACTGTCTATCCTACTTCTAGCTTTCACCTTTGTTGTCTTGTTAAAGCATCCTTTATGCACAACTTTCCTTGTATGAATCTTAGTCCTGGTGTTGTCTCTGTAGAGGCTTTCCTTTCACCCTACACTGTCAAATGCTCCAAACCTCAGAACACCCATGACTTGACATTATCCTTTTTCTCTCCCTACCTCTTCTCCTTCCTTTTTTCCATGTTTCTTTGTTTTCCTTTCTTCTGCCTAGGATGTTCTGTCCTTCAATTTCTCCCCCCCCCCCATATTTTTGGTTCTACCCCTTGTGGGTCTAGAGCTCTCATGCAGTGCTCCTTTTTCTTGTCCATAGTTTTACCCCACTTTTACTACTACTACTACTACTACTACGACTACCACTCCTTTACTACTATTTCTGCTTTTACCTTCTGCCTTTTTTACTACTATTATTGCTATTGCCCCTCTTTGCTCCCCTTTTTTATCTCTTGTGGCAAAAGCTATTTTTCCTACTACTACTACTTCCACCAACATTACCACCACCACTACTTCTTTTTCTTCCTCCCATCCCTGTCCTCCTTGCCAAAATATACTGGCTCACTCAC